GAGACGATCGAGAGATTAGCTCAAGCAGCAGCCAGCGCGCGAGGATAAGCTTTGGCCCAAGGTAGGAACGCTAGCTAAGCTAATGCCCTACGTAGTACAGACGGAGTGAAGCTTAGAGACACGTAGTACATTTTTCGATCTACACGATCAGATCTAGGCAGAAAGGGAGCAGAAAAGAGACGGTACATATTTAAATATGTGGAGGACGATATATATACCCTACCTAAGCAAAGCTCTCGTACGTGTCCGGCTGGCCGGAGAGACCCATGTCGCCGCCGCCGCTTAATTGTCCTGGCGGTTGAGCTCTCGCCGATCGACCGGCCGGCGCTGTAGTACGATCACGAGCGGAGGAGGCCGCGGATGATCTCCGCTTCGGCGCTATTGTGGTCCATGGTCGACATGAGGTCCGACAGCCGGTCGCTGAGGTCGTCCACCTCCCGGTGGAGGCTCTTGATGTAGCTGCACGTCTCCTTCAGCAGCTTCGTCGTCGACGCCTGCATTTTCATTTCACTCGCCCGTTATTTCCTGCTGGCTTCGTGCAAGTCAAACTCGCACGGACAATGCAACCACCCAGCTAGCTGGCAAGCGGTGGAGTAATGTGCGTACGTGTGTATCGCTGTTGTGGTGGTAAGCTTAAGCTAAGCAAGTTACCTGGCTGGAGCCGCGGCGGCGGGAGTTGGGGAGCAGAGACTGGAGCTTGGACATGAGCTCGTTGATCTCCTCCTCGGAGATGGCGCCGCGCGACGACCTTCTGCTCGACATCGTCTTCCTAGCCGCTGCTGCGTCGCTGGCCGGCCGGGATGAGCTAGCTAGCTAGTGCCGGAGCAAGCAGACTGCAGACTCCCGCCGGCTAGCTAACAAAGCCACACAGTGTGTACGCTCAAAAGGTGCCGGGCAGTTGGCCGGTGAGCGCGGGGAGGCCCTCGCTGACGTCGAGCCGCTCAGGATACTCGCTGGATAACTTCTAGTTGTGCAATCGCTGGAGGAGTGTGTGAGGGAGACAGAAAGGGAGAGGGTGTCTTTATAGGGCGGAGAACGGATTGGGGAACGATGAAGATGCGCGGAGATAATTCGACCCCGGCAAGTAATTATAGCACTAGCTACTGGCGGAGAGCAAAAGTAGGAACGCTAACGGGGTGAGCCGGGCCCGCGTGTCTCTCTCCGTCTAATCACTGATGAGCCGAGCCCACTGTCATCGGCGCGTGGAGCCCACAGGCGGAGAGGCAGCTCGTTGGGCCCCACTTGAATGACCACCCACCACTGGCCACGTGCCCCATGCGCCTTGCAGAACTGTTCAGTTTTACCGGGAAAGAACCCCTGGCTAGACGTGTTCGCCTCCTCGCCATGCCGACCGATGCAGCAACGTCCAGGAAATCGACAAGATCATTTGTTGCGTTTGAGGTTGTGATTTGATGTTATCCGAAGCGAAAGTCCCTCGGCTCGGTCTCCTGGCTCCGAGTCTCGTTAAGCGTACGTGTATGTACCACGAACTGATGTGTGGACGAATCGAACCCCTGTCAATCATCGGCATTGCCTAATTAGTCGGCTAGTGCAAATTGAGAGTTTTGGTCATGGAGTAATAAGCTGTTCGGAGAAAGAACACGCACCTTTGTAAAGCTAATTAAACAGGGACATGGATCCATGACCTCTTCTCTTCAGCCTTCACCCATCTGTCCTTGTCGTGAGAACGGACACGGACGCAACTATTGTATTGCACTTGCACACATACGTGCAGCACAGCAACTCTCTAATCAGCGGCAAGTCTTTTATTAACTACATCAATCAACTATATATGTCCGCACTATCCACAAGAAAACAAGTCGAGCGCCAGACCCAAAAGATGCCCTGTCCCCGGCCGGTTGCCCGGGACGTGAGGGCGGACGCGTACATGCATGCACATACGCCTTTCATTCCCTTGTCGTGTGCTGTGTGCATGCCAGCACAGTGACACATGACACGCCGCTTTGATTAACTAGTAGTAGTACGTGTTTTATGTGCAGCAAACGCACCTAACGCAGGAGATAAGCGCCTAGATTCAGCGCGATGATTGAGGGAGAGTGACGCAGCACGTACGCCTACGGTTTTTTATTCATGCATGCATATGTAAACGTCTGATACAGTGGTATAATTATACGTAATTAGTTAAGAGTTGGTCTGCTGCATGCATGGGGTGGGCTCGGTTTGGCGGGGTTTAGAGCAATTCCAATGGGGCGATCCATTTCGTCCGTAAGCGTCTGTTTGGGTCGGTGCAGACAAAAGTGGCGGCCCAACGCGCCGACCCAAACGGACGCGCGTCCGTTTTTCGTCCGCGGACGACCCATTTCAGACTCATTTTTAAACCGGATTTGCGTCGGCGCGGACACGAGACGGACGCGCGCGCGCTCGCCCTCTTTTTTTACCAGGCCCGCTGGTCGGTGGCATATTGGATTCACATCCTCGCCCGCCTGCTACGTCGCCGACGCCGCCGGCCATTTTTTCAGATAAAAATAGATACATAGATAATTCTAGCATACACAGATAAAAAGAAAAGACCACTACTCGTCGATTTCTGACTCCGACTCGGTAATGTCCTCCTCCGATGTCTGAATGTAGGCGTCAGCATACGCCTCGTCTTCAAAGTCCCAACCCGCTGTTTCTCGTAGCTTCAATTTTAATTGAGCTGCCTGCTTCCGCGAACGCTTGTCCTCCCGATAGGCGGCTCGCTCCCTCCTCCTCGCGTCCCTCTCCGATCTCAATTGCTTGTAGAACTGGCGCTCGTCGACGATGTCCTGCGGGTAGCCTCCACGCCACAGCACCAAGGCTTCCACGTCCTTCTCTGCGATGGCGAGGCGACGCGCCTCCGGTGGACACCGCGATCCTCGTCGGTGAAAAGCCGCGGGAGAGGCGCCAGATCCTGCGCCCGCTGGCTCGACACGTTGGGAAAATTCATATCCCGACGAGGCTTCAGGAGGCGCCACGCCGCCGCGTCGTGCGCACGGGCCGCCTCCTCTGCGGTGTCGAAGGTGCCGAGGGCGAGACGTTTCTCGCGAAATCAGATCTCGGCGGAGAAGGCGCCGAAGCGGCGCTCGCGGACTCCGCGAAAATCCGAAGCACGTAGGCGGCGGATTGACATGGTGACGCAGAGACGACGAGAGTGGGTGAAAGCGCCGGCCGCGGCGCGTGCGCGATCCTTTTCCGCGCGCTGGAGCGCCAAAACCAACGCGCGCGAACCTTTCCCGCGTGCTGGAGCGTCAAAATCAGGGCGACGGTCATGAAAATGGGTCAGCCCGTTGGGCGCACTGCCGACCCAAAACTAAAAGAGAGCGGACGGCGGGCGGGCGGCCGATCCAAATGGACAAAAAACGGACAAAAAGCCGTCCGTTTGGATCGACCCGTTGGAGTTGCTCTTACCGAACGGCGGGACGCAAATCTCGGGCGCCCGGAGCGTGGAGCCCCTGCGCCGCTGCCATGTTGGCGATCGAAACCAACCGGGCGGGCTAGCGACCGGACAGCGCGCGCCAACCTTCACGTGACCGTCGCGTGGTGAGCGCGTGCTCGTGTTTAAGGCCGCCGTCCATGTGGTCGATCGGGGCCTGGCCGCCCTGGTTCCGGCCGCGTGACAGTCATCTCACGAGCCTCCACCGCTGGACGGCACGACACGAGGGCCCCGTCGTCGATCGGTGGTCTGGCCCGGCCCCGCCTTCCCGTCCGGCCGTCTCCATCGGCCGATCGGCCCGGCCGGCGGATCCCGCGACCCGGGGGGGCATTACGTGCCTGCCTCCGTTGCGAGATCCAGGCGCGCGAACCAGGCACGGCCACGTACGGCGTGCGCGCATGCACGGCGCGGGGCGGCCGCTGGCCACAGACGGTAGATTAGCTCGGGCAGGGTGGGCGGAGAGACGAGCGGCCGGGAGGGTGCACAGCTGCCGCTCCCGCTGGTAGCTTGTGGCGGGCAAAAGGGGCGCGCATGTGAGGGGCGCGCCGCGGTAGTGGGTCTCCGGCTGATGGCGAGGCGGCAGGGCGCCCACCGCCACCGCCACCGCGCGCTCGCGCCCTCCTCGGCTATCTTTGCCGCGGGATTACGTTACACGCCACGTACGTGTGTCCCCGATCCAGAAGATCGATACCCACATACGCGCCTTAGTTAACTAGCCAGCTCCCCTTCCGTCCTTCCGTGGGGCATGTTTATTGTTTGCTTTAGGCCCGGCCGGCCACCCGACTACCACATCTACTCCAGCTAGCTAGCTAGCTCTGTGACTTGTAGTATCTACCTGTGCTGGAGTGCTACTCTACCGGTAGCAGCAGCGCAGTTCTCCTACGACTGGCATCTCTGTTCTCACGACATGACATGACCAACCGAACAAACGGCCGATCGCGTGAGGAGTAGTAAATGGGCGGAACCACGTGTCGCCCGCTCGTGTGAAGATGGGTGGTATCTACGAGTACATGTATCCACGGATCGAGCAGGGGTAGGTCCTATTTTCAACCAAGGAAGAGCCGGCCGTGTCGTATGTACTAGCTGAGCGGCTACACTGGACTCATCAAGGCTCACTCACAGATAAAGCGTGTGTGCTTCGGGGATGCATGCCGGTACGGGTGCTTTCTGGCTCCTATCCTTCTGCGGTTGCCAAAACCGGCTTTTTAGGGTACGTGCGTGCGTACGGTGCGTCGCGGCGCGGCTGTACCTGCTGATCGATCGACGCGTCCACGTCGAGACCAGCCTAGGCTATAGCTAGCTGGCTATGGATCCTGCGAATGGGTCATGGGGCGTGTAACTGCGAAGTACGTAAGTGTTCATAGATCGCAGATTTGAGATTGATCAGTAAGCGCTGGGCCTCTGCCTAGGCTGCCCACCACTAGCTACAGTAAACACTGAAGAAGAGCTGGGGGGCACGTACGGCAAAGTTGATAAACAGTTTTGCGTACGCGCCACCGATCTCTGCCGAGTCATGTTCGACCCATTGTCCTCTCTGACACGAGCTTCTGGAAAAGCTAGTCCCGCGCCGAAAAAAACATCTACTATATCATTTTACGTCTAGCTGGGAGGAGCGTGCTAGCTAGGGGAAGGGGCTCATATTTAGGCCTAGGTCGGGTACTGCTCCTGCCGGAGATCGTTACTTTCCGAGATCGTGGTAGTACTGGCTAGCTAGGCATGCATTATCGGTCGATGATAAAGCCGATCCGATGCATGAAACACGCATTGTAGTTTCTAGGAAGGACGAGAGTACCTGTACTTACCTATCCGCCGGTAGTCCGGTACGTGGATGGGGCCGGACGGGGCGGAGAGAGGAGAGGAGAGGAGAGGACCGGGCAGGCAGCGAAATTGCATCTGCATGTGGTTAATACGTGACCAAGTTGCACGTCGCCGTCGCGGTGTTTATTGCATAGGGCGGACGAGCGGACTCGCTTGCATGGGCTGCCGGCCAAACCCGCCGGCTCCCACACGTGCCTCTGCCCCGTCGCCGGAGGCAACCAACTCCGGCCGGCCTCCTCCCATCGGCAAACGGCATGCCGTTGCCGGACGCGCATGAGTACCCAGTACCCACGTAACCGGAGTATGAGCGTATCCATGCACGGGCTCGTACGTCCGATCGTATGTACGTAGTATGGTCGTATATATAGGCGTGTCCTCACGGGCCTCACGCACACACCTGTAGCATGTCTGATGTCTCTTGGCACGTACTCCGTATGTACGAGACATGCTGCTCCATCGTCAACAGTGCGGTGGTTAAATGTTTCGTCGGGTGGCGGTGCATGTGGGGCAGTTGTGTGACTTGTGTCAC